CCTCCCCACCACCCCCCCCCTTTTCCTCCTGTCAAATCTACTACTGCAAAATGTCAAACATGACTTTCACCAAGGGTATTTTTGATATTATTTTTACTATGGAGAAGTACTATTTTTCCACAAAGTTTCTTTTGTCCTTGGTCTTTAATCTCCTTTAAAGAATTTGTAAAAACAAAACGTGTGTGCTATCTAATGATACTGCTCATTTATACTCCACCCTTGCACTTTGGATATACAAGTGCTTCTGAAATAATAATTATACATTTGTACAAGAAGTATTTGAATATTGAGTAATCAATTACTGTACTCTTTTTGTTGGTTATAAATTTAATAAATAGCCAGAAGTAGACAACGACAGTTTTCAATTACTGGCAGAATCACACGCACGCGCGGTAAGTTTCCTTCTTTTTATATAAATGCATTCTACTTCCTAGTCAGTAACATCAACCACAATCCCCCACCTTCCCCTTTCATATTTTTGTCTCTGTTTATTTCTCATTTTGCCTTGTTCATTTCATTCATATTTCTCAGCTGGTTAAACTCAGTTTTGTACTCTTTATAGAGAAAATGTCTTCATGGGAAAAGCCTGTAATAAGAAAGGAAAGGCTACAGCAAAGGCGAAAGACGCCATCATTTTCTTCCTCTCTGTTGGAAGCCATTTACCAATCCATTGATGAATCCAAAGAAGAAGAAAACCATGTTCCGAATAAAAGGAACAATACTGTGCCAGCTGAAGAAGAGATTACTAGTCTTCGACGAGCAATCTTGATTGAGAAATGGATGGAAAGTTACAAGTATACTCAAAGCTCAAGACACTTTAGTTCAGATTCAAGTTCATCAACAGACTCAAGCATGTTTTCATCCTCAGAAACTGAGTCAGCTACAAGATCTACATCTAAATCATTACTTTTTCAGACATTGCCAAAACCAACAAGACAAGTTCGTGAAATACTTGTTCGATCAGAAAATGTTGTTACATTGTCTGCAGAAACAACTCCAAAATGTGAAGGAGGAAGGTTTATGAGAACAAAAACAAGAGCCTTGAAAATTTATGGTGACTTGAAAAAGGTGAAACAACCAATTTCACCAGGTGGGAAAATAGCAAACTTCTTGAATTCGATATTTAATTCGAGAAATATGAAGAAAAACCACCAACAAGGTATGGAAGATTGGAGTTCAGTGAGGAAATCAAGATCAGTGAATGACTTAAGTAGTACTGTGACATGTTCATTGCCTACAAGTTCTTCTTGCTTAAACAAAAGTACCCCTTCTTCGACGAGAGGTAAATCGAAAAGATCAGTTAGATTTTGCCCTGTTACTGTAATTGTTGACGAAGATTGTCAACCATGTGGTCACAAGAGCAGCAGCAACAACAACAACAACAACAACATACCAAGTGCAATCCCACAAGTGGGGTCTGGGGTGGGTGGTATGTACGCCCACCTTACGCCTACCTTCAAGAAGGCGGAGAGGCTCTTTCCGGAAGACCCTCGGCTTAGGATATGTGGTCACAAGAGCATATACAAGAATGAGGAACCAAGAATTTGGCATGTTCCAAAAGTAGGGAGCTTCAGAAACTTCGAGGGAAAACACATAAACAAGAATCAATACAGAGGATTTTACGAGAGTGAAGACGAAGAGGAAGAAGAAGAAGATGATAGTAGAAGTTGTGCAAGTTCAGATTTGTTTGAACTTGAGAATATTGGCATGATTAGTCATGTTCATGCAACTAGAAATGAGTTGCCTGTCTATGGAACTACTAGTTTGAAAATGAATCAAGCAATTGCTAGGGGTTTAGTTATGTGATGTAATATTTCATTAGATCATCAATGTAAACACTTAAAAATGAGTGATTTGTCTTCTTGAACTAGGTTTTTCTCCAGTTTTATTTGTATCATATTTCAGATATCTGACTTATTTTCTTACTTCTCCAACAATGGTTCAGAACTATGGCTTTACTAACATAAAAGGCTAATTGGTATGGTAATTAAGGGCACACAAACTAACAGTCAGAGGCAAATCTAAAATTGGGTTTTGAATGAGTGTAGTCGTATGGATAAGCAAAAATAATTTTGAGATAAAAATTTAGTACCGTCTTATCCCTTGTTTGGTACGAATCCTGGAATAAGTTATCTCAGGATTAAAAGTAGTATCGGGATAACTTATACCTGTTAGAGGGTGGAACAGTAATCACAAGATAAATCAGTAAAATTGACAGTTTTAGAATTAATACAACATATCACACAATCAATAAGAAACAATACTAGGATAATTAAACTCAGCATAACTAATCTCATATAATAAGTAATCCCAGCATAGCTTGTCTTCAAACCAAACGACCCCTAGTATTATATGTGTAAATTTTAATTCTCTTGCGAAAAGTGATGAGATCGGTTTGAACTTGCAGAACTCGCTCTAGATCCACTCCGGCATTATCATTTAACCGGCTAGTCTATGAAATTCTATGGTTCTAAAGAGTAGTTCCATATCGAGTCTTAGCCCTATCATTAGATTTTGAGCATTATAAATGAGTGCAATCTTAGTACTATATGTAAAAATTTTAATTTTCTTACATACTTCGAGCCGAAAGTGATGAGTTTAGTTCGAACTCACAGAACTCGCTCTAAATTCACCTCGGCCTATGGTATCGTCCGTACGGACTAGTCTATGAAACCCTAGGGTTCTAAAGAGTAGTTCCAAATGGAGTCTTTGCCCTATCATTAGCTTACTTTCAGTAGAAACTAACCTTGATATGCAAAATTAACTGTTAAATCAAAATCATTAAGAGAACATGTCCTAATTAAGCTCGTTTGAATATGATTATAAGTTCCTTACTGTAAAATACTGAGTGTCATGAGATGTAATGATTGTGATTAGGATATGTATCTTTAAGTTGAAGAAAAATGATTTCTTTTCTTCACTTTTTGAGATGTTACATTTGGACATTACTGTATTAATTAGGCTAGGGTACCCCCAAAATATTATTAATTTAATCTTATCTTGAGCATATGTCACTGTTTTGAAATGATTAAAAAAGTTTGAAAAATGCTAAAATGTCACATTTTCACAGTGTTTTTACAACTTTTGGATTCCCTCAAGAAATAGAAGAGAAGTCCAAAAGTGACAACTTTCAAAGAAAGAACAAGAAAGATCCTTTGATAACAAAGTAGACAGTATTTTATGATGTTGTCGTCTTTAGAATTTTTGGGGGATGAGTAGTTGTGGAAAATTGAGTCGTTAAAAAGGAGCACACCAACAATTAAAATACAGTTAAACTTTTCTATAACAACATCGTTACGTCTGATTTTTTGTTGTCGTTTTACCTTTTATAAAGATTGACTTTTATACCTGTAATACCCTAGATTTTAGACAGAGTCCCACATCAGCAAAACACAAAGCGATGCTGGATATATACGTTAACAAGCCTTAGATCCTAATGATGCATTTTACATCTGTGCAGGCCTAGGTCCAGAGCGGACAATATCACTAACGGGCTGGACTGTTTCAACTTACAATACCAATGGTGAAACTAGAATTTTTTTCAGGGGTAGTCAAACTTGAAAGAAGTGGGAAAAAAATTCTCGATAAAAGGTGTCCAGTATACGTTATATACCTTTAAAACCTAATATTTTTACCTATATATACAGTGTAATTTTTCGACGAAAAACGGTTAATTAACCACCATTTAAGACATATAGCTTCGCCCCTATTTTATACACCCGTAATAACATTTAACTGTTTCTTTGAACATGAAATCATAATTAGTCCACCAACAAGGATAAATTTTAAGTTATAAACAAGCATATATTGATGATATCAAATAGATAAAGATATAAGTTAAGGGATTAGGTTCAACAGAATTTGTTACATTGAACTGATCCAAGATAACGCTGTCAATCAATTATTGCCAACAAAAATAGTGTAATAAAACCAAGAATAAATAGATTATATTCACAAAAATGTAGAGCAGGTCGGTGTTATTGGTAGCTGTTATGTTATGTCTGTTTATGCCTAACAACAAGAAAAAGAAAGAAAGAAATTGTGGTCGTATTGAACTATCAAAATCGAATTCAGAATTTGAAGTTTATGATTCCTATTACAATTTTACATTAATAATGTAAAATAAATATTGATTTTACTCTCAAATATTTATAGATATTTAATTAATTTTTACATAAACAAGTCCTGGAAAAAACTTCTAATTTTAAGTGAAAGTATATGCTATATCAAGAATCCGCCCCTGTGTGTATGGGTTAAGTCGAACCCTTTTTTAATATGAGATATAAATATATTTGAAATTATTAAAATTGGGAGTCGGGCATAATTCTAGTTTTATATCCCTAAAATATCAAAAAATGAGTAACAGTCATGACGAAACGATGACTATTGTTCATTAGGTTGTTTTTGATGGTCCGAAATTTTTTTTAGGCGATTCGTGCCCGATCGCCCGGATGCATGCACACGGCGTGATTATAGCACACGAAAATCTTGAAATCGGGTGGAGTTCCAGTTGTATGGCACTAAATCACCAAAAAACGAGGAACAATCACGGCGAAGCGATGACTATTGTTTCTTAGATCATTTTTGATGGTTCGACAAAATTTTAGGCGATTCGGGTCCGATCGCTCGGATGCATGCAGATGGCGTGAGTTAGAGCATACGAAAATTTGGGACTCGGGTGAAATTCTAATTTTATGAGCATAAAATATAACGAGAAATGTCTTTTAATAAATACTTTATTTAAAAAAAATTAAAATTAATTTCAGTAAATTAAATCCTGAATCCGCCACTGGACAAGATAATGATTATGAAAGAGGTCCCACAGAAGAATTTGAGAAGTCAAAATAGAGCACAGGATCAAGCATTATGGCGCACATGCAAAACTAGAACTTTTGCAAGCAAAGTTAAAAAGTAAATCTTCAAAACTTTTGCTTTATTCAATATCCCACCACCCTCACATCAATTTGCCTCAATTCGTCCTTTTTAAGTATTGGGGGTAGTTCACCTTTTTGAAAAAAATATAATTATGGGTGGCATCACTATTTTCTCACTTGTTACTCTCTTATGAGTAGAGATGGATTCACATTTAATAAAATCAATAAGTTGGGAGTGAGTATTATATTACTTTCTCCGGTCCATAATAAGTGACCAATTTATTTTGGGCACACTCAGTAAGGAAATATTAAATTCTAGACGAAAATAGTTAGTGTGACTAAACTACCCTTCATTAAATATTGCACAATAGTTATAGTAGCACTTACTTCTCTTCTCAAATGTGAGGAGTAAATGACTTTTTAGGGATATGTACATAAGGGTAATTTTGGAAATACAAATTAAATTTTTTCTTGATTATATAAACGGACACTTATTTTGGACCAAAATAAAAGAGTGAATTGGTCACTTATTGTGGACCGGAGCGAGTATTTTATATATATATAATAAGTGATATTTGATTTGTATACACAATTAATATGTCTTTAGGAAGTTCGTTGACAAGGTTAATTAGCTGGTAGTTTTTAACTTTGCAATGGTAATTCATAGTGTTATGCCGTCAAGGAGTTGTTAAAGTTCAACTCTCCCCTTCTCAAAAAGTAATGTATTTGTTTTCAAGATCTTAAAGGAAAACAACAACAACAATAATGACCCAATAAAATTTGACTAGTGGAGTCCGGGGAGGATAGTGTGTACGCAGACCTTACCCCTACCCCGAGGGAGTAGAGAGACTGTTTCTGAAAGACCCTCGGCTCAAGAAACGAAAAGAGATAATATATCAGTACCATCAATAGAAACCATAGGAATAATAACAACATCATAAAAACCAGAAAAATAGATGAAAAGCAAAAGCAATAACCGATAAATAGACCCGGCACTATGAAAAACGGAAGAGTAGTACGAGAACACAACATTAACCACTAGCAGTCTAAGACAAAATCCTATATAAGACTAGCCTCACATTGGTACGAAGTAGAAATAGGCTCCACTACCTCCTAATCTACAACCCTAATACTCGACATCCACAGCTTCCTATCAAGGGTCAAGTCCTCGAAAATCTGAAGTCACGTCATGTCCTGCCTGATCACCTCTCCCCAATACTGCTTAGACCGCTCTCTACCTCTCCCCGTGCCTTCCAAAGCCAGTCGCTCACACCTCCTTACCGGGGCATTTGGAATTCTCCTCTGAACGTGCCCGAACCATCAGAGCTTCCTTTCCCGCATCTTGTCATCGATGGGAACCACGCCCACCTTCTCCCATATATCATCATTCCATAACCTTATCCATCTTAAAGGGAAACAAATTTTAAGAAAAAATAATGTCAATAGCGTGGATCAGAATATGCAGCTTAATTACTAATAATTATTACTTGAATGTTTATTTCATTATGGGAACAAATCATCCTTCCTAAATTTTTAGATGCAGAAGTATACATCTTCTAGTAGCTTGAAGATCAATAATCTTAGGAGTTAGGATCCATTTGTTCATAGTTTTTTTTTCTTCCTTTTTTTCTTCCTTTTTTAAAAAAAAACATATTTGTCAATGAAATTTTGTGAGCTTTTGGAGATTTTTCAAAAATTTTATGAAAACCTTTTCCTCCACTCACAAAACTATAATATTTTTTCAAGTGAAATGTATGTCCAAACATATCAAATTTCAAATATTATTTTTTAACTTAACTCCAAATACTAATATTTTTTTTTTCGAAAAATTATAATTTTTATGTCGAAATGCCTACTTAGTTAATTATAGACCAAATATCTTCTATTTATAAAGATCAGTACAGATTGACGCAATTAACAGTAGAAGACATTATATTGAGGTAGAACGAGTAATTATTACATTTTACTTTTTGCTTCTTGACTTGTTCCTCAT